GTTGGGGGGAGGAGGCGAGAGGACGTGGGTTGGTGTGATCGGCGGGCGGGTGGAATTGACACGTGGCCGGTGCCCATTGGCATCGTGCGCGAAGTTGCTGGGTCGATTGTATGGCGGCATGGTTGTCGTCTGTGACTTCCTTTCTTGTTTTCATCGTGTGGACGGTTGCATGGTTCCTACAGTTGTACGAACGTTTAATATTGGAAGAACTTTTGTTCTGTGTGTCTCTCTCAATTTTTTTTATAAAATTTATGTGTGTCTTCAAATCGTGTGTCTCGAATGGTTTGGTGTGGTGGGAAGTTTATTTTTTTTATGTGTATCTTTTCATTTTTTTTTTATTTTCTTTTTTCGTCTCTTCAATTCGTTTGTCACGAATGTTTTCGTGTGGTTCTCTGGCGGGACGTCTAACATGGGTGTTCAAATTGTTGATGTAATGTGCTTAACGTAAGTTAACGATGAAACACAAAAACAGAGAGAGATGAATATGGATTGTGTGCATGCATAGGAGGCAATCATCTGCAATCATCTTTAAATCATTCAACAGAAAAGACGAGAATAGCGGATACATCACATAAAAAAAAAGGGTGCGCTAAAAGCGCTATGAACTTCTCGCGCAGCGAACTGCGATTTTAAAAACAGAATACAGGACGACATTCATTGATCTCGTCGTCGACTCCAACGAGCGACACACTAAACACCTGCACTAAACGCAACATACACCATTGAAATCAATCAACCCGTCTTTGAGGCACCGTCAACGCACTAAATATGTGCGCAACCGACGATGATGTTGTCGAATCCCTCTCACCAACACACTAAACAGGTGTGCAGTTTGCGACGATGCAACCACAATGAAGCCCATCACGACCAGCCATGTGTACATGTGCCCGCGTCCACACAAGCAGCAACCCCCCTCCCCCCCCTTACGCGTCATTTTTCCCGTCGTTGTTGTTCTCATCATCGGGGGGGCCCGAACCCAACCAATCTAGCTTCTTCGCATCCTCTAGCCCCGTTATTCTCGCGTCGTGCTTGAAACCAATGCCGCTGGGTGCCCATTGAGAGACATAGTCGGGGCACTGTCCGAACGTAGCGTTCGCCTTCCCGAGCCTCTCTGTGACGATTTTCTCGGCGTGGACGACAAATCGTCGATGATCGAAGGAGCGATGCATGGACGCGACGAGTGTGGGCTTCGCCACGAGGTTCGCGAAGTAGAAAGTAGTGGCTGCGCAGATCGTCCCCCGCCATGCGCATTATCCACATGCACGCCGCAAACAACAGCCTGAAGCAATCAGCCTCCCGACAAAGACGATCGTGCGAGATGAATTCGCCATCGATGAGCGCCCCCATTTGCACCTCCGCGCGGAATGCATGTGCGATGCAAACGGCGGTGGACTCCTGGTGCGCCGCCATGTCGTCATCGTCCGGTCTGTCCTCGATGTTGGCGCCGGCGAACCACAGTGGCAAGTCCATGGACAGATCTATCGTGTGCGCGCAAACCGTCGGACTGACGACGTCGCACCACTCCTCGCCGTACCACATAGCACGCGCAATGTCTGTAGCAAAGGATTCCAGGGAGTACTGGAAAGCCACATGGTATCCCCTTGGGCGGTTCCCGGACTTGAATACCCAGTCATGCAAGATGCGCAGAGCAACGTTCTCCACTGCCGCCGCACGAGAGATCGCTTGCTGCAGCTGTGATTGGTCGGCGATCCTGCCTACTCGTGTGCTGGATTTGGGAAGTACGACGCTCCGAGGGATGGCACGCGGTGGAAGTCCACTGGCGATGGCAACAAAGTACTCTCTCGTATCGTGGATGATGTTGTACAATGTTCGCCCCTCCCCCGTCATCCAGAAAGCTTTGTCATCGACCCCAAGGACGACACGATCGATGAGGTCTTTTGTCATCACTCCCCTACGTACCTGGCTTGAACCGGGCTCACCGCCCTCCCGATCGCCTTTCTTCTCGCCACGCACCTCCTCTCTCACCGTCGCCACAACTTCTGCCTCCTCTCTCGCCGTCGCAACGGGGGCCACATTGCCTGAACCACCTGCCCCCGCAGCACCTGCCGCTTCGGCCCCAACTGCGCGCGCGTCTGCCACGACTTCCCCCCCGCCGCCGCGTTGGACGGACCCTCCGTTACCACCCTCATTGCGCTGACGTGGCTGAGACAGCGTGGTGGACAGCCTACCCGAGACTGGCCTTTCGTTTACAGCAGCGCGTGCCATCACCGCCCGCGGTGGGGTCGCTGTTGTACGAGTGCGCATGCGACGTCTGTCCAAGGGCTCGTCATCCTCGCCGCCAAGATCGACGACAGCAGCCTTCTCTGTCTGCGTATCGCGGGCACGCTGCTGCTGCGCCTCGGGTGGAGGGGTTAGCATCCTCTTTGAAGCACTCTGATCAGAAGAGCGCTGCCGACCACTCTCTCGTACTGCAGACGTGGTCGCCTCTTCCTGATCCTCCTCCGTCGTGAACTCTTCAACGTAGTCCCCTTCCGCTGCTGCCGCCCAACCTTGCGCTCCACGAAGAGACACCCTTGTTGACGCATCTTTCGAACGCACCCTCTTCGCTTTTGGGGCATGCCGCCGACCTCTTCTCTGCCCTTGGTTGTCGTCAAGGACTACGTCGCGCTTCTTCCCACGGGTGTTCTCTCGCGTAGACATGCTTCGTGGTGACCTGTGCAGGCGAGCTTGGCGGTGTGATCGAATGAGCGGGAAGTCCTTCGCCGACCGCCGTTTGAAGTGTCACCGATCTGGCGAGAAATATGTCTCCCGTGCTGCTGTGGCATGACGACAACGGATACCCTCGCGACGCAGAAGATCTGTCCTCCGCGGGAAGAAAACGACGACGAGCATGTGGTAGATAGAAGGACGACGACCCCGACGACAGTACTCCGCGGCGAAAAGACTGGCGGCGAGAAGAATAGAAGAGCGACGCTCACAATGATCCGCGGCGAGATGATTGACGGGTGACGTCGGCGTGGCAGGGAGAAGGACAACGACTCCACCGAAGACCGTCCACGAGACGAGACGGCTAAAATGGCGTCGGCGGTGGTCCTCCAAGGAACTGAAGATGTTCGCGCGGAGCGGGCGACATTTATCTGCGGCGAGCAGGGCTGTACCACTTCCACGTCGTTGCGGTCGGTGTGCAGCAGGCGTGGCAGGCTTCTGTACTGGAGACACCTTCGTGCGGACGACATACATGAGGGTTGGGATGCTCAGGACTTAAGTACTCTCTCGCAGATGGACTCCCGCGATGTCGCTTCTCTGTGGCGGGAAACGACATTGGCGACGGTGGCACGTGCGACCGCCCTGGGCACCTAGGCGTGTCATTTCGATCCTCCCCAAGGCGCGAAAAGACCCTTCGACGTCCCTGGCGACGCGCGTCAATGGACTCGCCAGGGACCGAACCCCTGGCCACCCCATCGCGTCTCCCCCTCGCAGCCACCAGACACCCCCGC